GCTTTCTATCTCTTGTTTTTCAGCCTAGGTTATTCGTTTTGTGTTTTTAGTTAAATTATTATATTTAAAAAAAATATATGATGTTGTACAGTATTACAAATAAAAGAACCGCAATTATACAACACTTAATTAGCTTTTAGCTGACACCCAAATTCGTCGTTTCCTTCACGAAAGAACATAACTACATTTCAATGTTGCCAAATTATTCCTCGAAAAATTGGCCGTTCAACAGGATAATTCGAGAACATCTAATTGAAAATGTCACCATTTTGTCTTCTGATAGTAAGTAAAAAGCTGACTTTTTGCCGAAAATCACGCAGGTTTACTACACTCGCAGAAATAATTTAATTGTTTGAGTGAATTCTGCAACCTTGGAATTGAGTTACGTTCAATGAAAATTTGAAAATCTTGATTAAAAGGCAAACTATTATGAAGCATAATCAACGCACCCATAACGATATATTTATAAAGAACATTTTTTTAGTGAATTCGACTAAGTCTCCTAATTTAAAGGGCTCTTCAGTTTAAATTTAAAACGCTTTCTCTCGGTCTCTCCCTATTATCCTCAATCCATCGCAACGACTTCTCTTAAAAATCGGTATCACGATCACTTCGAGATACCTTTTTTTAAAAAATTCTTCAATCGAATGATGTGGCAACAGGGATGATTGGATCATTTGACAGTTTTTTTCTGCAACTGAACCTTTTAAGATGCTGGATTCCGATAGCGTTTACACAAATGGATGATCTGATCAGCCGGCGGCAGCCCGTGCCATGTATCGGTGGACCTATCACTCGACATTCCTACCTTTCACTCTCAACAGATGGCCTGCGCCTGCGCTGAAGAGGATACCTTCTTGGAGAATGTTTGTCACCTACTCCGCCTCCTCTCCCGAACCGATGACCTGAAAATCATCGGGGGAATCATTGCTAAGTCGAAGATATAATAGATGGACGGCTTCTGAAAATATAGAAGTCTCCTTAAATGCAATGTTTCAAAATATCGTATCTCCTCTGACGTAAGGGCGTATTTCTATTTCCACATGAGCCTCAAAATGCATGAAATTATATGTAAAACAGGGCTCACGTGAAAATTGACACATGCCCTCACGTCTGAGGAGCGATGTTACACTGGAAAAAAACACATTGGATCTAGATTCCAGACTCTTAAAAACATCGACAAGAAAAATACTCTTGATTCAATCGGATTTTTGCTTAAATCAAGAACCAAGCCTCTTAATTTGAGCGGATTTCCTTTTGATTTAAGCTTAAATCTGATTGAATCAAGAGTATTTTTCCTTGTCAATGTTTTCAAGAGTCTGGACTCTAGATCCAATGTTTTTTTTTTCCAGTGTATAATATCCACACTCAACTTCCATGTAAAAGGTGATTGTGGTGGGTGTACCTACTTACAGTTTTTAAACAGTATAGTATCAACGGACTGATTTTTGAAATTGATAGACAATGTTATAGACAAAGAGACATAAGAAAAAACGGACCGATTCAACTAGTTGAAATGGGTGGTTTCCATAGACAAAAGAGAAAGAGGTTGCTGTTAGTTGCTTGCCCACTTCTTTTCGTCGTTTCCGTCACTAATTGAAAGAACGTAACTTCATTTCACTGTTGCCCAATTTCCCCATGAAAATATCACATAACTAGAGGGATCTCTTGAATTTTAAATGGAAACACTCACTGATTATCCCTCAGATTTCATGCAAAAATCAGGAAAATGTTGGATACGAATTGGACAGGTTAATTTTCTAAAATAAATTAATTGTTCTGGTCAATTAATTCGCCAAAATTAAAATAGAGTTACGTTTCTTCGTCCCGAAAACAACGTTTTGTCCATTGCAACTACCTATTTTCACCAAAAGGATCGCTTCATTTTCTCTATGTCCGCTTTGTCTATCACTTCGTCTGTCAATTCCGGTGATCAGCCCGCTGTCTCTATCCTACCGCGTTTTCCTGAGACGTAGAAAATTAGGCCCTCAGACTCGATTTTATACCCACTGACATCCATCAGCACCAAGAGGAAAAAACCTAACCACCGTATCAGCCCCCTAAAAGCGCGGCGTGAATGATCGATTATATCGATATCTCCCGATCTGAAGCTGTGGTAAAGAATCGATTCTCATGCTGTTCGTTGCGAACACCCTGTTTGTCGATCCTTTTCCATATGTTTAAATGGCAGATCAATCGATGCATCGCAAAGCACGCACGCCACCGACGCACCCTCCTTCCCGCTGAACATTTTCCACCAATCTTCAAACATTTTTCAAACGCCTGAGGCTGAATTTAATTTGCGACGCTGATGAAGTAATGATTTGAGATAAGTAGATGACCTCTTCCCCCTCGCCTCCTTTCCTCCTCTTTTTTCCTCCAGTTGGAGTATATAATGAACAGAGCTTTCTTTTAACGCTCCGATTATTGTTGCTTTAAAAGATCCTTCGCGCGGCTGAAACTAAATTAAAAGCTCGTCCGAGGCTGGGCGGTAATATTTGAACCACTTTGGAGCTTCGCGTCCCATTATTATCTGTGGCGTGGCGTGCTTTGCGATACATCGATTAATCTGTCTTTAAACCTATAGAATAGGGTCGATAAATAGGGTGTCCGCAACGAACACCGTAATAATCGATTCTTAACCACAGCTTCAAATGGGGAAATATCGACATATCGCAAAGCACACCACGCCATTGTTTAAGTATTGAACTTAATCCAATTTGCGTTTTTTAATGGAAAATAATTATTCTGCGACGCTGGATGTTCAGTCTGGGTTCTCTGGAAATTACACGTCTGAGGTTTGAAGTCTCCATGGATCCTTGAATTTTAATATCCGGGAATATGGTGGCAACTTTTTTGACGCGATTCTATCTTACACGGCTGGTGCAACTATGATTGCGTAATTTTTTTGTTCTAGGTATATCATTGTTAACTCGACTAAGTAAAATGTGGTGAAATATCAAAAACTCAAAGTAAAGTACAAAACATTAAAACAAAATTATATGCTTACATGCAAGAGGAAAACACTGTTTGAACACCCTGATACTGATCAAGTCAAAATTCCACTCATAGAATTTGGACTTTCCGGCCAACTTGTTCTGAAATAATCATGCCCTTTATATGTAGTAAATTTGGAAATTTTGATGCAAAATATTCTGTAAATAACCTACGAATAATTTTATATAAAATATTATAAATTATTATATAAATATTCCAAATATTTCATTTTTCTCAAATAAGATATTTAATGCGCGGACTTTTAGAAACTTTTCAATATCATCAGAATCTCTCAGATGGGGACTGGTTTAAGTTCAAAATGACCTTGGCAACCTCGGTTATTTTGAACCGGTTGGTTATTACTTTTAGGCCTGAACGTCAAATCTGCAGTCCATTGTTGACACTGGTGTATACATACCCAAAAAAGAAATAGAGAAGTCTAAAATTCACACGCTCCGAGCGAACTTCATCGAAAGATGAGCTTGCTCGACGCGAAGTGGCGCAGAGCGCGTGGCGCGTGGCCGGATACGCGCACGGCTCGAGCGCGGCGCCCTCCCCTCCCTCGCCGCGCGCAGTTTCTTTTTAACCTCGTCAAGGAAAATTGGAATTTTGATTTTCCTAAGCGATTTCATTTGAACATACAAATTCAATAAGTGGTTTCTGCCCCTCCGCTCGCTCCGGCGCCCCTCGCCCCTGCCCCTGCCTTGCCTGGCGCTGGCGGCCCCATCAAACTCAATAACGCCCGGCACGGGCCCCGGGGCTTCGCATGCATGTTCACGTCCTACGTCGTCCGCCTCCTCTTTTATTTTAGCAATATTACCTCAATTGCCAATCTTACGCCCCCCTCGGAGCGCCGCCTCGAGTTTTCGCGACGCTCCGCCAGGGAGCGACATCCACCCGAATCCTCAGTTCTTGGCGTTTTCATCTCTATCTAGAGACATTTCTCAGGGAGCCGTATACAAGTATTACGTAGCGTATTAAGGAGGAAGGGTTTGGTGCATTGTTACGGTGCCTTAAGTGAGGGGAGGGGGGTCAAACCCAGCGTTACGTAATAAATTCGAGCGTGGGGGGAACATTGAAAAACGTGCAAAAAATTGAAAATCCTGCCCTTGCTTTCTTGATTTTTTGGAAATTGAGGGGGAGGGGGAGGGTGATAATCGAAAAAATTACGTCACGTAGTAGTTGAACGACCTCTAAGGAGACCACACTCGTACTTTGCCTTGCTAAGGAAAAACGCTGAATCAACCTTTGGACGTGCACAAATTTCATAAGATAAGATACGAAATTGGGAAAGATGTAAATATTTTTCTTTCAATTTTTCAGACGATTTTATTCGGAATTTATTAGAAAAAATCCAAAATTTTACTAAAAAAGGCATAATTTTGCTTCAATATAAATTGTTTATCGGGGGTTTGGCAACAGTTGGATGTTCATACGGTGGTTTTTCGTAGCGCGGTATCACTGAAAAAAAAGAATCTTAAATTTGCCACCAAGAAGTATTTCTTCTTAAATCAAGAATTTTTCTGGTTAATATAAACTACTTTTTTGCTTAACCCGAGCGTTATTTTTCTTGAATCTAGAAAAAGTCAGGTCAAAGCAAGATAAAAACAATTCTTGGCGAAATTCAAGGTTCACCATGCTTGATCCAAGCTACTTTTTTTCAGTGTATATCATGAAAGTATGAAGCATGAAGAGACAGAGTATGACCATTGAGGGATCCACTTGCGATTCGCTAGTTCGAATGGCCGAACATGGCGTAAACTGTCGGAAATGACCGAAATTATGACCAAAGATAGACAAAAATATCCAACAATGCACGAGGAATGGTGTTTTCACAGCGCACTAGGGCGTTCTGCGCCGCCTAACCGCCGCAGGAATCCGTCATGATAGACATCCTCCCGAGGGTGGTATCCCTCCATCTCTTTTTGGATGCCTTCAATCCACTTGATATTATCATGTGCTACAGTAAATTATCATCTAATATGCGAATTTCTGTGTTTCAGGTATGGTTCCAGAACCGACGAGCAAAATGGCGGCGACAAGAGAAGATGGAAGCCACGCGGCTGGGCCTGAGCGAATACCACCACTCGCTCAACTCCCTCGGGCGAGTACCCGGTTCCAGCCTCGCCTTGCCAGTCGACTCCTGGCTCGCCACACCCCTCCTCTCCGCGCTCCCAGGGTTCCTCCCCCACCCCCAGACCGGGTACCCCAGCTACCTGACGCCCCCCACCGCCGCCTCCCTGCCCCCCGACCNAGCCCCCATCCCCACTCCCCCCACCACGACCCCCGCACCGCCTCCATACAAGCGCTGCGGCTCAAGGCCAAAGAACAGGTGGAATCCATTACTAGGTCTTCTAAAGGTCTTCAGATGGTTTAAAGCTTTGTAAATATGTTTATAGTTGGGGAAGAGAAGGTGTTTACTTGAGTCTTCGAAAAGATGTAAATCAGGAAAACACACCAAAATAAAGAAGCTACGGGCTGTATGGACTTACCGTCTGCTCCGGGCTCAGAGGCCGAAAGCTCCAGGTGCACTAGAAAGAAAAAAACACATTGGATCTAGAGTCCAGACTCTTGAAAACATTGACTAGAAAAAATACTCTTGCTTCAATCAGATTTTTGCTTAAATCAAAAAGAAATCCGCTCAAATTAAGAGACTTGGTTCTTCATTTAAGCAAAAATCCGATTGAATCAAGAGTATTTTTTCTTGTCGATGTTTTTAAGAGTCTGGACTCTGTGATCCAATGTGTTTTTTTTCCAGTGTGCTACAACCGGAATTTTTAGCGTCTGAGCCCGGAACGCGCACGGTATGTCTATCTAGCCCATGGGTACGGTTTTCACGGCCGGAGAATTTCTTTCAGTGCAAGCATTTTAATAAATTGAGAGAGGAAGTTGTAAAAACATCCGTGTACAAAAATTTACTAATTATGTTTCACACGAGTATTGAGTTAGTAAACTTTATTTACAGTTTGAGCAGGTTAAAATGTAGCTCTCTCATATTGTCTTTTGGGATTATTTACTTTATACCTATATAGCTCTCAGAATGCAGAAAACAAGCTATTGCTTATCATAGAATTCGTCTGTTTGTATCCTTTTCTAAATGATTACCACAGAAAATGTCTAACAATGATTGTTCAATCGCTAAATATTAAAGAGATATGTTTTTTTAAATTTTCACGTATACCCTCTGAAGATGATACTGTATGCTGAATTTCAAGCATTCGAATAATTGAAATTTCGGCTTGAACATCGACACATGATTCATTACTAGTTTTCCCATATTTTTCTTTTCATTTTATGCTATTTTCTACTTATTCTCAAATTGTTCATCATCGAGTCTCAAGTGTAACCTTCATGATTTCACTCCATTGATACTTGATCAATGTGTTGAAATCATCCATAAAGGTCACTCCCTTATCAGACACATGTCCAAAGATGTAAATTGATTCGTTACTTACAATATAAGTGTGTACAATATGAGTGCATCCCGCTCCAGGAATTGATGTGCGCTATGTGTATATAAAATACAATAATTATGATTATTCATCGCGCGAGGTTTGCACAAACCATAGTCAGTGTAATATTAAACTTATGTATATAATATGTTCTTGTATATACTTAACACGATCACTTGTAAATAAAATTAAATTATTATCATACCTTTCTCTCGCCTTATTTTCTATCATACAAGTGAGTGAAACTCGGGGAAATCGCCGAGTTTTAATTTATTTATTTGAACGTTTAAATCTCATTTTTTTCGGAATTACGATTATTTGGACGAGTTTAACCTCCGTCTAACTACATTTAACGTTGCCTAATGGCCTGGTTTTATTTTATTTTTTCTTCAGAAGTCAAAGCAATAAAACGCATGCCTTGAACATTTCTGCGCAACTTTTAAATTTTATTTTATTTGTCTATCTATTTATTTATTTATTAATTTAAAAAAAAAAAAAAAAAAAAAAAAAAAAAAAAATTTCACACGAAATATCCTTACACAATTTCACTTCAAGATATTGCTGAGTTTTCCTGTGAGTAAATAACTAAATACGACACATGCATATTTAATTAAAATTAGACAATATCTGATGTAGTTAGTCTGATTCTTGTCATAGTCGTCCATTTATGGCCAAAATGGCCCAAATCATACACTGCAACTCGTAAAGTGCAACTCACTACAGCAAAGATTTAATGGTCAATTATTGAGCGGCTACTTAGCTCCAGATTTTCAGGTATGTTATGAATAATCTCTGAGAGGCTCATCGCGCTGACGAAGACCAAGTTTGATCCTGAAGCATTTGTTTAAATAACTCCAAAATCATCTCTAAAATGAACATCGAAGACCAAAGCGCGAAACCACGTATCTCTGTTTGCGACGTCTCAGACTTCCTGTGATACTTTCTTTGTTCTTTGGGAAACTTGTCAATATATTTTCTTGAGAGATCTCTTGATTTTTCCTCTCTGTCAGCAAAGTATTCGGTATTAATTTCAAGCTAAAAAGTTGGCTTGTCTCTCTTGGAAGAAATGAAATAGCAGCGGAAATTTTGAAACATCGCAATGAAGATATGCATGGAGATGGAGATGGTTATGCACTTCCACCATCGATATAGTAAATAAAAGTAGAATGCACTATTTCTTTATACCATTTCCGAGATGCACTGCAGTGTGATACTACGGGCAAGTACACTCGAAGGACTTGGATGACAGGGGCATAAGTGCAATTTTTGAAAAAATTGAGATATTAATGACTTCAAGTAAAACTGGCTCAATGCATACTCTGCGAAAAATTCGCTCCAAAGTTTCAGTTTTTAAGCATCAAAAAGTCAATTTTAACTTCCTTTCCGCCAAAAAGATCCATGTAATTTTAAAACTTCATGCAAACACGTATTTCTCGAAATATTCACGTATTAATAATATAATTTCACGTAATTACGCGCCTTGTCCTCTTCATAAAAATGGTTTTAAAGAACAGCTTTTTAACAAACCGATCTGTTATTACATTTTGCTTGAATAAGGTACCATAAAATCAGTTAGAATGTCAAAACGTTATTCTCTGACGTGTGCACATGAGGTTAAGCTGAGAAAATTATTAAAAAAATAAAAAATAAAAGAAAATACAACTTCTGAATGATTAATGATTGTAAATGTCTTTCAAAGGTCGTTTAAAATTGGAAGATAGGACATGAAACAGAGCAAACATGCAGAAAAAAATCGAAAAAATCGTCGCTTCCCTGGCGAGGAAAAGAGCCTCCATTCCAAAGTTGCTACATTGACACAAACGATTCACTTTCCACTAGCATATGAGTGTGCGATAATTTCTGTCCAAAATTCGTCAGAAAAACTCTCATTGTCAGTTAGAAATGGCCTCTTGTCATCCTATATAAATATACAATTTACGAGCGAAAATTTCGCAACGTAGTATCGCATGGCAGTATGCTACCGTGCTAAGGAAGAACACCGTATGAGCCTTCAGACGTTGCTAAGTTTCCTCCGATAAAAACCGAATTCACTGGAAAAATTGTGAATATTAAATTCCAAAATTTTCAGACAATTTTGTACGCAATTTAACCTAAAATATCTGAAAATTTCAAGGAAAAATATGCATGAATGTTGTCAAAAATACACGTTTTATCAAGGGAAATTTGGCAATTCTAGAATGTTCATGCGGCGTTCTACCTTGTAGCACGGCAGTATAAGCATAGGGTTTGCGAGCAAAATAGTTCATTTTAACACACAAGTGCGTCCAAATGCTGCTTCGTCATAGCACACCTACCTCATGTCCCCGAGAAGTGCGGTTGAGGGCGAAAAATAAGGGATTCTCGTTTCCGTGATCAACCTCGGTTAGGAGGGATTATTTAGCTGCTGCAAATTTGCAGGTGGCATGTTTAACACCGCCATTTTCGTCTGCTCTTCCATTACGTAATCGCTTTGACGGGGACGTGGAATTTAATTCATAGTTTGCGGCTTTTCGCTTCCTACGTCCTACCACGGCGAAGTAAAATCAGGGGCGAACTTAATTCAACGAACTAGTTTTCTTACATTGCATTTAGCGTGGCGTGCTTTGCGATAATTCGATCCATCTGCCATCTGAACCTATGTAAAAGGATCAATAAGCAGGATGTTAACAACGAATACCTTAATAATCGATTCTTTACCATAGTTTCAAATTGGGAAATGCCAATAGCGATCATTCTTCTCGCCACTGTTACTGATCAGCTTTATATCAGCTGATAGTATGAACACCGTTTGTGTGGGGTAATTTGGGCCCGGAAATCTCCCTTAAAAGGAAAACCAGGGTATCATTTGGACTGCATTTTGCAATTTGGACCTGTAAATTCTGGCTCATCTGAAAAAACACATATCGTCACCTTCCAGGCAAAGTATCACAAGCGCCATGCGACGTTTAAAAATTTCCGCCGCCATTATATTTTTTTACAGAGAAATTGTTCAACGAACCTGTCCGAAAATTACACCGAATTTTCTTTGTGCTGCCGTTAAAATTTAGTGAAATTTTCGAACAGATTTAACCAACAATTTCTCAGTAAAAAAACGCATGGCGCTTGTGATACTTTGCCTGGAAGGTGACGATATGTGCATAGGGAAACTAAAGGCATATACGTTGTTTTTAAACCGGGCCGGAATTTATAGGTCCAAATTGCAAAATGCAGTCCATTTGAGCTAAATCGTTGAGGAACACAAGACGTAAATTTTTTTTAGAACCTTACCTGAATGCACTCAAATACTGCCAGTGCCTGGACACCCCCCCCCCCCNCCCTTGTCTACTGTGTCCTTACCCACCCTATAATCGTCGTTTCGGTCACGAAAGAACGTAACTCCATTTCAATGTTGCCAAAGAGCCTCCCAAAATTTTGCCCCTTTTTCGGTATTCGATTCGACCATCGCACTAAGGTTTAAGTGGAAGCTCATAATAACAGAAAACTCAGGAGAAAATTTCAAGATGAGTATAGGAACCGTTTTTGAGTTACCGGGGGGGGGGGGGGGG